CTGATGATTAATGGTTTTAGATTTTTTTAATATGATCACGTCAATATATTGAAATTTTGAGAAAATATTTGTTTGATATCACAAAAGACCACACGACTTCATAACTTCTGAACTGCGTACTTTACTTAATGGGAAACCATGGGAAAGTCAGAAGGATGTTGCAAGTGTCATCAGAGGCACAAAATCATTCAATGCGCGATTGGTCCGAATGGAATCTCTATGGTAATGTTGAACCAGCTTAATGAGCCATGATTAGAGTACCTAACCAAAGTCCTCAATTGGTCGTATGCCACCCTAATAGTTCCCGATGCCTGGAAAATGAGTAGAGGGGATCCAATACCAGAAAAGGTGAATCATATAGACCGATCCCACTGAATGATATTCAATTGCTAATTATCAACACGGATCCCAGATGTAACAGCAACAACATAGCAGGCCATGTAATAGGAGAGTTGTGTTGACGCTGGATTTATCAAAAGCAATTCGTACCGTCAGTCACACCAAGCTGTCAATGAGGTCGATCGAGCAACCCTTCAGACAAGTTTGAAACGTTGGATCGTGAATTATATGTATGGACGCCAGTCGTACGTGGAATTCAGAAATAAGAAATCGAAGACCCGCGGATTTAAACAATGAAATTTCTAAGAACAAAAAATTGATGACATTTGGGAGAGGCTGAAAGGTTTTCGCGTGGATATTGCTTAATTTTTCCGGACGAGGAATATGAAAATATCTCTTAATAAATCAACGACTACCTTGCAATAAGCAGGTCGATGGGTCGTCAATTTCGACCACAAGGGGTCACATTCGATAGCCTTTACAAGTCGTACGCGCATGCCAGAGTTATTTGTGATAAGGTCAGGAGCAAGAAGGTCACTAGCCGGTAGTACTTGGAGAGCTGACACAGATACCTTGTTAACCACATATTCAGTAATAGGATGGTCTGTTTTAAATTATACGGCTCTAGTGGTCCGCAACGCAATGGATATTCAATCCTGCCAGAATGCCTCCTCATGATCACTTACAAGAGGAGACAAAAATTCTTCCTGTGCGTCAACACAACAATATGTTGTCGAAACTATGCGGCTCTAGCGTGGTCCGTGGTCAATCCAGCCAGAATGTCTTTCTGAGGACTGCAACATGGTGTCTCCTCATGACTCCAATAGACTATTTGTGAAGAGAGAGAGACGAAGATCCTTCATGTACGTGAACACAACAAGATGTTGCCGAACCATAAACTTATGGATTGGCACCCACCACCTTGGGATGTCAGAAAGGATCTTCATGAACTGAAGAAAGGAGTCCAGAGGTACAAAAGGTAGTCTCTAGATCAGTAGACCTATTTAATTGTATTCACACTGAAATTGCGAATAGCCTCAATCAGCGACGAGTAACTGAAGGGACCAGCCTCAACTATCCTATGGGAAAATTCGCTGTTGCAAACATAAATTTACTGTGAAAAAAAATTCATTTCGGGGGTGGGGTGAGGGGCGGTGCACGGGCCCCCCGGGCCGCCCCCCTGCGTACGTCCCTGCACAGCAGTATAGGCTATCACCATGAGGAGAGCATGAACATTATGTGTTGAAAACACAGTTCCTGCCGGCAGGCTATTTGTCGTGTCATCTCCACTGCATTGTTGATCCACCTCCGCGGCACATCCGTCAGGACTTCAGCCGCTATCGTGACGACATTCATATATTGCATCGGACGTCAACAGCTCATCGATAGTGAACGCGATGAAATTAAATCCGTATATCAACATCAGGTTTTCGAAGCCATAAATGGCTACAGATGCAACAAAGTTCTACTTCAACATCCTTCCTTGGCAAACTCGTTGGATTCTGGCGCAACTAAGATCCGGATATAGCAATATCCGCAATTCGTTTCGAGAACACAGCAAAGCCGCCTATATGGTGCACATTAGACATCTGCATGAATGTACTCGTACAATGAATCCACATCCACATTCATGGATGTTAAGTCGTATTCAGAGTACACAATAGACATCTGCATGAATGTACTCGTACAATGAATCCACATCCACATTCATGGATGTTAAGTCGTATTCAGAGTACACAACAACATTTAATGAGTGCAAATGAATTCAACCACCGAAGTTGTGTTGTTCTTCGTTGTGCTTTGTCCGATCAAACGATCAAACTTGAAAGCACAACATTCAGTATGATGGACTACAAGAACAAGTTATACAACATCAATGAGTCCAATGAGTGAACATCATGCAATGTATTTTGTATTCTATGTATTCATTCAACGACTTAACATTGATGGTGGGCATTTATTGTACAGGTACATGCAAATGTTTACCTTGTACACTCTTTAAAACTTTATTAGTGAGCAATAGTGAGAAATAATGTCTTTTATTTTTTTCTATTGAATACAAGTAAATAAAAACTCCAGAAAAATAAGTAAAAGTTAAATGAAATGATGTAAGAAAAATCGGCGGAATCTTCCTCAAGGGATATACAAAAATAGGCCTATGCAGAAAATTAGAGTACAAAGTTATATGAGGAGTACAAATAAGTATTTGCGGAAATACATATGCACTTTTTTGGGACTTAAAGACTTTTCATTTGTTCTTTATGTTTTTGTGGACGTAGGTCATTTTCTTACAAATTGTCTCTCATTACATTTCTTAATAAATTTGTACTTTTGTTGATTTTTTACATGATAATATTATTAAGTAGAGTAGAGATTGTTTATTAAAAAATATGAATAAAAATAATTAAAACGTCTTTAAGTTCGACAGGGCCGACCTTTTTATACTCACCGCCGCGAGGTGAACAGTCAAATTTTAAATATTGTTTTTTTATTAATTTAAGTTTGTTATGAATTAATTTTTTTACGTTGTATTTATTTTCTGTTCATATTAATGTTTTAGATTCTAATATGAATTAAAATGAAATACGTTTTTTTTTCATTAATTTAAGTTTGTTATGTATTGAATTGTTTTTTACGTTGTATTTATTTTTGTTTATATTAAATAAAAATAATTAAAAACTTTAAAAAAATAATAAGTAAAAGTTACTTCAAGATTCCACTATCACTAAAACCATCGACGAAAGCAATAACGGGATTGGGGGATATATAACCAGTAAGGAAAGTAGGAGAGACGGACGGGGCCGACTATATGATACCTTTTTGGGTATATTCAACAGATGAATCCTAACAGATGTCGCATTTTTGAAGGACCAGTAAAATGAAATTTGATCCATAAACATGTCATTCTGCAACCTATACTAAATCATATCAATCGGACACCCCTTGATTATTTGGATAAATATCTGATAAACTTGAGGAGTTTGGTGCATCATTTACCTAAAATCGGAAGAAAATATATATGGGGGCTATATCTAAATCTGAACCGATTTTCACGAAACTTAACACACATCATTCTAGACCGATTTTAATAGAGTTCGTCCTTGGGCCAAATTAGTGACCTATGCCAAATTTCATCCAATTCGGATCATACATGTGACCTGTACTTTGTTTACAATTTGACATGGACAGACGGACGGGCATGCATAAATCGACTTAGAAAGTGATTCTATGCATATACTAAAAAGGAACCATGTGTCTATCTAGTTTCCTTTTGCCTGTTACAAATATATGCACAAAGACATAATACCCTGTACCACAGTGTGGTGAAGGGTATAAAAAATTGGCTTTGCATATAAGGGGGCCAATATTGATTACTTCTCGGGAGGAGTGGACTGATAAAGGCCATTTTGGAACGTAACGGTTTAGTTTTGTATCTCGACACCCCCGAAGGTAGTAATATTACAACAGAAGTCTTAACATATTATAGGTTATGAACTGACAAGTTGTAGTACTGAATATCCCCCACACTATGGGGTATCCAATTCGAACCCAAATTAAAACGAATTTAAAAAAAGTGCGTTTAAAAACATCTAAATATTGAAAAAAGAAAAGTTCTGCTATATAGTGGATACATTACTAGATATTCATAAATTTTGTCCTTATTAAGAATATATATACTTTATATGGGCGGAAATGACTATTTCGATGAGTTACAAAAAAAAAAAATAACATAACATACCCTTCATACTTTTGTGGATGGTGTAAAAACCAAAATATCTCGTCAATTAATTCGGGTAATTCGAATACTACTGTATAATTCGACACACTCATTGTGTAAAACATGTTCGTGTACGAACTTGCCGCATTTGTTCAAACTTTGTGTGTTACAACATACATTCATACCGAAGTAAACATACACAATAAATACCGGTTCGTCGAGTCTGAAACGTGGATTGTATGAATCAAACGAATACACAACAAATTCGAAACTCTCATACCTGAAGCAATTCATATTTGTTGTACCCTCACTCATTGGACTTCATTTCAAACAAATTTATAGAATAGAAGCCATTACTTTGTGTGAGTGACTCATGGGTGGTGTTTTTGTGCATTCATGCAGATGTCTAGTGCACATGACATGCTACACATCTTCAACTGTCCCGCCAAAAGTACTCATCTAACAACATCATCACAACCGGTACAGATCACAGCCTTTTTGGACCTAGAGTTAGAAGCCAAACCAGATTAAATAGAGAATGAACAGCAGTTTAAGTTGCGACAAGAAAAATTTCAATCATGGCGCCCAACGAAGAAATAATGGAGAAATCTCTCCATTCATTTTCTAAGTGTTGCCATAATTTTAATTGTAGTTAAAAAAATCGGTTCACTAGGTCGATTTTTGAACTTTGATTTGATTTATTCTTTCTTCAATTTGGTATGTCCTCTCTCTGGATAAATTTACTTTTTATGAATTTTTATATATCTTAAAATAAAATTTTTTAATTAAATAAATTTGTAACGGTTCACATCGCCGCATCAGCTGTTTTCCGTGTATGACTACAGTGTTGTAAAAAAGTGTAGTCGCTGTCGCAACACATGGCCATTGTGTTGACTCTTGACGACAACAACAACAAAAATAAACAATCAAAACACACGTTATAATGGGTGGAGGTGGTGGTCAGGCTATTGAAACATTGGCCGATGCCATTGCAATTGAAATCCTCAATGAAAATGCCATTGTTACCGGTAAGTTTGGTAGTCCCACGAATGGAAATTGAATGATTCTAAATTGTTTTCTATTTAGGAAAAGGAGATGAACTGCATTTATTTACAAAAACCGGTGAAGAAATTGAACAGTGGCAGGAACAAGTTTTGGATATAAAATTGACCAATAAAGTCCATGGCATCCACAAAAACAGTGATGGTTCCCTTCTGGTCTATGGTGAAAAGGAATTTGTGTTATTGTCGATTAGTTCGAATGGCGGAGGGTTGGAATTCCAAGAATTTTTTCGAGCTACGCTAAGTGATTGGATAAGTTGTGGCTGTTTCCTCGCCGAATCCAATGAAGTTATTTTACTTACGGCTCATAGTATTATTTTGCGTTTAGATTATGATGTTTCGAAACGTTCATGTGTCCTTGCCGAACGTATATCCTGCAGTGATAAATCCACATTATATTGTGCCCATTTGTATGGTGATACATGGCAAGATTTAGTAGTGTTTTCGGGTAATGCATTTGGTGAACTGTTAATATGGCAGCCGTCAAGAAATGAAGAAAATCCTGGAGGAGCTTCGAAACCAAAGTGTTCAGCGTTATTGCATCGCATTTCAGCCCATAATGGTGTCATCTTTTCCATTGATTATGATCGTGACACACAACAATTGATAACCACTAGCGATGATCGTGCGGTTAAATGGTGGAAGGTGAAGATGGCGGATGAGAATGGTGGAGGTTGGTTGGATTCCAAATTGCAGCCGGTGGCAAGTGGTTACGGGCATGTGGCCAGAGTTTTTCGCGGCAGAATTATTAAGGATGGTGAGTAGTTGGAGGTAGACAACATAAAGGGGGATCAGTCTAGTTAAGGGCAAGGATTTTAAAAAAAGTGTCGATTATTAAACATATTTATTTTTTAGGCCAATTATAAGGGTGAATTTTGAAAAAAATATTTTTTGAGGAGCATAGGCGTGGATTAAAAAAAAGGCCTAGCCAAGCTTGGATTTAAAAGAACAATTTTGAAGGTCCAACAATAGGCTCGGATTTTTAAAAATATGTTTTTCAATACCAACCATAGTCTTAGATTTTTAAAAATATGTATTTCAAAGTTTGGCCTTAGGCGTGGATTAAAAAAAAAAATTAAGAGACTCCCCATAGGCGTGGATTTCAAAAACATTTTTAAGAGACTCTACATAGGCGTTGATTTTTAAAAATATTTTTTAGGAGACTCTACATAGGCGTGGATTTTTAAAAATATTTTTTAAGAGACTCTAAATAGGCGTGGATTTTTAAAAATATTTTTTTAAGAGACTCTACATAGGCGTGGATTTTTAAAAATATTTTTTTTTAAGAGACTCTACATGGGCGTGGATTTTTAAAAATATTTTTTAGGAGACTCTACATGGGCGTGGATTTTTAAAAATATTTTTTTAAGAGACTCTACATAGGCGTGGATTTTTAAAAATATTTTTTTTAAGAGACTCTACATGGGCGTGGATTTTTAAAAATATTTTTTTAAGAGACTCTACATAGGCGTGGATTTTTAAAAATATTTTTTTTAAGAGACTCTACATAGGCGTGGATTTTTAAAAACAGTTTTTAAGAGACTCTACATAGGCGTGGATTTCTAAAAATATTTCATTACTTCCGAAACTAATAGTTTTCATTTTTTTCAGGTTCCAATGTCTATGCCCTGAGTGTGGGTGAAGACTCCTATTTCTGTTTATGGCGAAATAATGGTGAATTGTTATTCAAACGCCGTCAGCAATTTGGTGCAACCATTTGGAATTTCATATACAGTCCTTCCAACAAAACCATTTACACCTTGGGATCCATTGGCAATATGGTGGCCTATGATTTATCATATGAATTGCAGAGGCTACAAAACTCCTCAGAAGATATGCATTTACTGGCCGAAGTATCCAAGGATAAACCTTCCGAATATATTGCCAAGGTGAAGTTCCTAAGGGACCACCACATCTTGTTAGGTATAACAAATGAAAATCGTATAATGGAATTGTTATATGAAAAGGACGCGAAGGCAGGAGTTCAAGGATCATGGAAGGAGTTAGATGTGGGTCTTAATTTTAAATGTACCGTAATGGAGGTATATGGAAATCGAGTGGCCATTTGTGGTTTTAAACGTGTACTGCTATTGGAATGTAAGGAAGAACTAAAGAATGAGGATGAGCGGCATTGGAAATTTGAGGTTATGCAGGACCAAAGCCTTTTACAAGGTGTTATTCGAGCATTTGTGTTCTTTGATAGCCGAAACTATTTAATATGTGATGATAAGGGTAATTGTGAGCTACAATTGGAGGATAGCAAACGTACTTTACTCCTGGCCAAATGTAAGGAACCATGGCTAACCACGGCTCTACTGCTTTCAAGAGGGGATTATTTGCTTATCAGCAATCGTTTGGGTAACCTATTGCTTTACAAATTAAAGGTAAATGGCGAGAGCTATGACCTCTGTGACACCCTGAAACATCCTCATGGTAATTTGGGAGCAACTCAACTACAATTGTTAAATGAAGGCGGAGATTCTGCTCTGATACGTTCTTGTGGTCATGATGGGGCCATTAAATTATATAATATCAACTATAAGGAATCGAACATCACCAGTTGTTCTCGGGAAGTGGTGCAAGTCTCCTGGATAGAAGCAATCATTGGCAATTGGTATGATGGATGTGATTTGTTTTTGGGTTTCAATGATAATCATTTCACCGTTTGGACCCGGGAATATGATTTCCTATTGCAATTGGCCTGTGGTGGTGGTCATCGTTGCTGGCATTTCTCGATCCACCCAGAAACTCAAATCATTTCTTTGGTTTTCATAAAAAATAAGAGAGTTAGATTCTATCAATTACCACTACTGAACAAAGGCCTCACATCTCTGCCTCCAGCCAAAAAATGGCATATTGCGCCATGTAATATTATGGAAATATTGAAAGTGAATCAAACATCCATTGCTGTCACAGCTGGGGATGATAATCTCATTAAAATACACAAGATTACCCCAAAAGGTTTGCAACAATGCCAAGAGTTACACTGCCATATTTCCAATATTCGTGCCCTGAAACTACACGCCATCAATGAAGAAGAATTTCTTATATTCTCCGGTGGAGGTCGTGCTCAATTGTGTATCAATAGAATTGATATTAAGAATAATTATCACATACAAGAACTACTGAACTATACTGTGAAACCAGCAGATCAGCCATCGAACAGTACCTCCTCCTCCACTAATAATAAATCGCAATATAATTTTGATCCTGAAACTCGATTAATGTCATTGGATATTAAACAGGTGAACCATGGAGAATATCAAATCTTTATTGGCTGTTCAGATGGTCACATAAGAAGCCTAGATGTCCATTTAAATCCCCTTCAAATTAACACAACCTCACAATATTTCTATCAGAAATGTCTGCTACAAATTAAATATCTAAAAGAATATGATTATCTATTGGCTGCCGCCACAGATGGTTATCTACGTTTCTTTGACTCCGAGCTGACAAAATGCCTTCACCAAATAAATCATCATTCGAGTGGTGTTAATGGCCTAGCCCTACGTTTCGAGCCACTACATAAATCGCTACAAATCCTATCAGGAGGTGATGATCAGGCGATAACTTTTAGTTCATTAAAATTAGCGGAAGATTTTAAATCGACGAATAAATTTACCAATCCTTCATTGCACACGGCACAGGTGTGTGCAGCTGCAATATCTGCAGATGGTCATTATGGTTATACCAGTGGTGTGGATCAAATGCTCTATAAAATTGATTTGAAGACGGGTGAAATTGTCGATCAATTTCATTCCTGTGTTGCCGACATTAAAGGTGTCTGTCTGCTGGATAATGATTTGTGTATTTTATATGGCTGTGGCATGCAATTAATTAAGCTTAGCAATTGATTTTATAATGTTGTTGTAATTTTGTGTAAACATTTTTTTAATAAAAATAAATATTTTTTTATGTATTTGGATTTTTAAAAATATTTTTTCCAAAGGTAAACCATAGGCGTGGAGTTTTAGAACTAATTTTTTGCAAGGACTGGAAGACCATTAAGCGTGGATTTTTAAAACAATTTTTTGCAGGGACTCGGAGGCCATTAGGCGTGGATTTTTAAAACTAATTTTTTGTAAGGACTCGAAGACCATTAGGCGTGGATTTTTAAAACTAATTTTTCCAAGGACTCGGAGACCATTAAGCGTGGATATTTAAGACAAATTTTTCCAAGGACTCGGAGACCATTAGGCGTGGATTTTTTAAAGTAACTTTTCCAAGGACTCGGAGACCATTAGGCGTGGATTTTGAAAAATAACTTTTCCAAAAACTCGGACAACATTAGGCGTGGATTTTTAAAACTAATTTTTCCAAGGACTCGGAGACCATTAGGCATGGATTTTTAAAACTATTTTTTTCCAAGGACTCAAAGACCATTAGGCGTGGATTTTTAAAACTATTTTTTTGCAAAGACTCGAAGACCATTAGGCGTGGATTTTAAAAACTAATTTTTCCAAGAACTCTGAGACCATTAGGAGTGGATTTTTAAAACTAATTTTTCCAAGATCTCTGGGACCATTAGGCGTGGATTTTTAAAACTAATTTTTCCAAGGTCTCGGAGACGATTAGGCGTGGATTTTTAAAACTAATCTTTTCCAAGGACTCGAAGACCATTAGTCGTGGATTTTTAAAACTAATCTTTTCCAAGGACTCGAAGACCATTAGGCGTGGATTTTTAAAACAATTTTTTCCAAGGACTCGGAGACCATTAGGCGTGGATTTTTAAAACTAATTTTTCCAAGGACTCGGAGACCATTAGGCGTGGATTTTTAAAACTAATTTTTCCAAGGACTCGTAGACCATTAGGCATGGATTTTAAAAACTAATTTTTCCAAGAACTCTGAGACCATTAGGCGTGGATTTTTAAAACTATTTTTTCCAAGAACTCTGGGACCATTAGGCGTGGAGTTTTAAAACTAATTTTTACAAGCAGCCTTATTCTGGATATTCGCTGGGAGATATCTCGCATATGAAAAATTTTTCGCTTTCACATTCTCGCCTTATTCTGAATGAATAGGGAGACGCAAAAAATGCGAGATGCTGATTCGAGTTTTCGAAAATGGTGGTTGAAAAATAGATTTGTGTTGCCATATTGTAATTTAAGTTGTAATGTGTGTGGCCATATTGTAATTTAAGTTGCAATGTGTGTTGCCCCATTGTAATTTAATTGTGTAATATTTTTCAATATTTCATTTTCTTGATTTTTTTATTAAAAATGTTTACTTTTTATTGTTATTTAAACTATATAACAATAAAAATGTGAAATATCAATAATCTGCTGTATAAATGCTTTGTAATTAAAAGAAAATAAATTAAAGTTTAAAAATATGGCAACCTACAATATGGCATGTGAAACAGCTGTTCATTGTTTTGATGCAATTTGATGCAACAACTACAACTGAGAATACAACAACGAATAATGGAAAGAAATCTGCGATTGAATTAATTAATTCAGTTTATTATTTCACTACCTAATTGTGTGCCTTTATTTATTTCCCCAGATTCTTAAAATGGCCTGTTATTTTATAATTTGCTCCTACTCCTTTATTTCTTCCATCAAATTATGCACACGATAATTTAAAAAAAAAAAATATTTTTTTGTTCTTTCATAATTTTTATTTAAGTTTTTCACTGTTAAGCGGCTAATCAAGCAAATTTGGGTTTTCCATAATTTTTAAAATTTTTTTCTTGAGAGACAGATCCTCACCCAAAATGTCTGTATTTCGCCTCTAAAAATCAAACTCGACTTAAATATTCCTTATTACCTTTATACATTTCTTGGCAATACTTGCTTCAGCATGCATCGTTATCAATAGGATTTCCAATGGCATTTTATTGGTTGTTTTCCAGTTAAAAATTTGCTTACTATCATTTATAATATTCTAAATCGTCATAGAATAAGTATTGTGTAAATATTTTTCATAAAAATAGTTATTACTTATGTTTTTGTAGTCAACTCCCCTTAAATTTATTAGCGAAAATTTTCGCACAAAATTTCCTACTCCCTGTAATTCAGAATACCTAATTTTTCCCCAAAGCGGATTTTTTCGCTTTCGAACTTCATTCAGAATAAGGCGAAAGCGAGAATGCGAAAAAATTCACTGGAAAATGTTGTTCAGAATAAGGCGAAGGGAAAGAGCGAGTAAATTCACATGGAATTGACATCCAGAATAAGGCTGAAGGACTCGGAGACCATTAGGCGTAAATTTTTATAACATTGTATATTTTTTCATTTTTATATTAGGCATTTAAAATATTGCACATCATAATCATCTCAACGGCGTCGTTATTAGAATATCAAAGTCCAATTGCGGTACATGACCTTCCTTTTTGCAACGATAGTCCAACATTAAATCTTTGAATGTTTGAAAATCACTAAATGACTGTAACAATTCGAATATTTCCGAATCGCCAAAACCATAAGGATCTTGATGGGAGTCATACGAACTGAAACGAAAATAAATCATTAAAATATTCTTAAAATAAAATTTTCCTCTTTACCTCAATTCCTCTACAAATTTTTGCATGTCAAAATTTTCCATTCTCCGCTGCAGCTCTTGCATAATATAATTTTCAAATTTGCTACTATACTCTTGAAAGATATCCATATATTCTAATTTATTTTCTTCGATGGGTTCAATGCACTGCCAATGCTGCTCCAGGAATTCTTCTTGCATTTGATGGAATTCATCACTGAGGACAATGTCTTCAATATGTCCAATAACTTCATCGAAAAATTCACTGCCCTGTGTTATGCTAATAATGATATCGGGATTTGTGGCATCTTCCGTGATAGCTGCTGAATCCATTTAATTTTTTAAATATATTTTTTAATTTTATTTTCTTTTTAATTATTGTTTGGAATATTGCACTATTGATTATTGACAAAAAATGGCATTCGACAATCAGGTAAAAGTGTGGTTGCCATGACAACAGTTTTATTAGTTTTTAAAGGGATGGTTATCTAAATACGTTTCCTAGAATGTAAAAACCCCTAAAAGTTGGTTTTAAAATTCCACGCATAATGGTCTCTGAGTCCTTGGAAAAGTTGGTTTTAAAAATCCACGCATAATGGTCTCCGATTCCTTGGAAAAGTTGGTTTTAAAAATCCACGCCTAATGGTCTCCGATCCCTTGGAAAAGTTGGTTTTAAAAATCCATGCCTAATGGTCTCCGATTCCATGGAAAAGTTGGTTTTAAAAATTCACGCCTAATGGTCTCCGATTCCTTGGAAAAGTTGGTTTTAAAAATCCACGCCTAATGTTGGTTTTAAAAATCCACGCCTAATGGTCTCCGATTCCTTGGAAAAGTTGGTTTTAAAAATCCACGCCTAATGTTGGTTTTAAAAATCCACGCCTAATGGTCTCCGATTCCTTGGAAAAGTTGGTTTTAAAAATCCACGCCTAATGCTGGTTTTAAAAATCCACGCCTAATGCTGGTTTTAAAAATCCATGCCTAATGGTCTCCGATTCCTTGGAAAAGCTGGTTTTAAAAATCCACGCCTAATGGTCTCCGATTCCTTGGAAAAGTTGGTTTTAAAAATCCACGCCTAATGGTCTCCGATTCCTTGGAAAAGTTGGTTTTAAAAATCCACGCCTAATGGTCTCCGATTCCTTGGAAAAGTTGGTTTTAAAAATCCACGCCTAATGGTCTCCGAATCCTTGAAAAAATTGGTTCCTTGGAAAAGTTGGTTTTAAAAATCCACGCCCATGGTGTTCTAGTCCTTGAACAAATTAGTTTCAAAAATCCACGCCTAATGGCGTTCTAGTTCTTGGAGATCTTTTGTTCTTCAAATGAAAGCAAAAAAATAATTTAAATTATTTTTTTAGATAATAATATTTAATATTACATCTTTCATTTTATTTTTTTTTTAGTTAGGACATCATTTCTAATGACATACATATACATATCTATTTATTATTCCAATTTATAATAGTTAACTTAAAACATATTAAGGATTATGTTACTAAATTTCTTTTGTTGTTTATAAAACATTAACAAGATTATATGTATATAGATTTTGGTTTGTTTGTTGTTATGGACTTTTAGGTTTTTGATTCCAAACAATCCAAGCATAGAATTAGTTTGTCAGCAGCAGCTTTTTTAAAACAATATAAAATTAAAAGCAAAAACAACAATAAATTCTATGTTGGAGTGTGTACCTTTTTAAATAAGGTTCATATAAGAAAATGTGAACATTAAATAAAATTCAATGAATTGCGTAGGATGTTAACAAAACAAATAAATTATTGTTTTTGTGAAAGGATGCAAATGAAATAAAAAAATCCTTTCACACACACACATGTAAGGCAGGCCATAGGAATAGAGTAAGGAATTATAGTAACATTCCTTTTGGTAATACAAAAGATGAAAATAATATATATATTTTTAAATAGTAGGTGGGTACAAAAACATAACTTATTCGGTTTGTCGTCGTAATGCTCGTAGTCATCATCATCGCTTTACACCTTTTATATCGTTCTTCATTCTAGTTAGTCTCTTTTTGTTTTTTTTTTCTTTTCTGTTTAGACACCACAAACTTGTAAGCAAAATTATTTGTTATTGTCTTTCAATTTGCAGTGTGGCGTTAAAAATCATTTTTGTTCATGCGGCTCTTCCTGTTGAGCTGAAGCCTTATCGGCAGCCCGTTGAGCTTTTTTATCTTCGTACATTTTAATAATTTCAGCTTTAGTTGGCATGGGTTTAATATAACCAGCCTGTACCAGATATTTAATGGAGACAGTGGTACCACCTGCAAACAAAAAGTAAAAGTCCTGGGTATTAGGAATGGAAAGTAATTTTCGATTTTGTTGCATCTTACCAAGTGTAACAGCATAACGTAATGGTGTTGCTACTTTATAGCATAGATATGCCACAGCCCAGTGACCCAAACTTGAGCCTTGAACTTTCTCGATAATAGTTTCACTCAGGTGTAAATATTGAAGAACAGCGGGAACATCAACGCCACTAAAAATGGGGGTTTAAAAAATAAATGATTGGTATTAGTAATAAAAAAAATCCACGCCTAATGGTCTCAGAGTTCTTGGAAAAATTAGTTTTAAAAATCCACGCCTAATGGTCTCAGAGTTCTTGGAAAAATTAGTTTTAAAAATCCACGCCTAATGGTCTCAGAGTTCTTGGAAAAATTAGTTTTAAAAATCCACGCCTAATGGTCTCAGAGTTCTTGGAAAAATTAGTTTTAAAAATCCACGCCTAATGGTCTCAGAGTTCTTGGAAAAATTAGTTTTAAAAATCCACGCCTAATGGTCTCAGAGTTCTTGGAAAAATTAGTTTTAAAAATCCACGCCTAATGGTCTCAGAGTTCTTGGAAAAATTAGTTTTAAAAATCCACGCCTAATGGTCTCAGAGTTCTTGGAAAAATTAGTTTTAAAAATCCACGCCTAATGTTCTCAGAGTTCTTGGAAAAATTAGTTTTAAAAATCCACGCCTAATGGTCTCAGAGTTCTTGGAAAAATTAGTTTTAAAAATCCACGCCTAATGGTCTCAGAGTTCTTGGAAAAATTAGTTTTAAAAATCCACGCCTAATGGTCTCAGAGTTCTTGGAAAAATTAGTTTTAAAAATCCAAAAATTAGTTTTAAAAAACTTCGCCTAATGGTCTCAGAGTTCTTGGAAAAATTAGTTTTAAAAATCCACGCCTAATGGTCTCAGAGTTCTTGGAAAAATTAGTTTTAAAAATCCACGCCTAATGGTCTCAGAGTTCTTGGAAAAATTAGTTTTAAAAATCCACGCCTAATGGTCTCAGAGTTCTTGGAAAAATTAGGTCTGCACAGGGCAGAACGATGCTCCTGGGTTTATCTCAATCTCGGCACAGACCAGAAAAATCCGGAGCAAACAATCCGGGTAATGTAGCTCCCATGTTGAAAAAAATACACGAAAATGTACTTGCTGGATTGACAGGCCATGGTCGAAGGTTGGTTTTGAGTCAATCCACAGACCGGCATGTTGCTATATATGTTGTCAGCCAGGTTCATCATCGAAAAAATGGTCTCAATTAAACATAAAAAATACTCTACCGCTACCTCAACATTGTTTTTGAAATACACCTGAAAATCAACGCATATCGCTGGTATTAAAAATATAATTGAAAATATCAGGATTTATCACTTTATTGATTCTTGTTGGTCCAAAAAAAAAAAAAAAAAAACCTTAAATAGTCCAAGCTATTGTTCCTGAAGATTGTTGAAACATTTAATTAACTTTAGTGCTCTAACCTCAAAATGACCCTAGGTTTATCTGATGTTATACATTATAGTACTATAGGGTACTCCACATAGTCGCTGTCAACCAATCACAAAAATACACTTTTCTTATTATTCTCCCTCTTTGTGTTATATTCTTCTTTGTTTACATTTTCACTTTCTAGCATATTTCGCTATTTATTGCTAGAAAAAAATAAAAATATATTTATAGATGAAAACAATGCAACCGAGGTATTTTCGAGAATTTTAACGTTCTGATACAATATCGTACGTACGGTCATTGACATTCCCGATAAGGGTAACCGAAAAAAAAACAATAACCACTGATGCCGGTACTAATGCGCATTAAGTCAACCGACCCATCTATGAACATTTTTCTTAAATAAATATTAGAAATTGTAATAAGAAGAGACAAAAAACTACTTTCTATTGTTGGGTAACACACGCAACTTGACCCAAATAGTGCCCATTGTTGTGTAAAGTCAAATAAAACAAAGTGTCTCCACCAATTAACAGCTACTTACCTTTGTGACAGATAATAGAAACCACCCAGCCAGCCGGCTGATGTTACAACATGCACCGGGATCAGGACATACCAATATTTCTTATACATCAATTTGAATTTGGCAAATAAACCCAAATTGGATGCCTCACCAAAGAGGACATCATTCAGTTCGGCCGATGAGGCTACAGCTGATTTGGTGTCGGATTTATTGGTATGATCTGGTGTCTGTTTTGTGGTGAATAGCCGCCTTGTTGTCGAGCAAAATGGACTGGTTGCAGTGATGTTGTTCTTCCACAAAAGCCCACCACATTGTAGTTGATTTTGTTCCCCGCGATATTGGTTGCTGCCGGTTAATGTGCCCGATGTTGTTGTTTTTGTTGCGTCGTTACGTATAAACACAGCTGCTGCTGCTGATCGATGATGAAATGCACGTTTTAGATGGCAAATTTGTTCATCCCGCAATGGTTTCTGTAGACAATTGATGCTGCCATTTGTTGCCTTCAAGGCATTGGTCAATAACCGTAAAGTATTCATCTTTTCTGTGATGATGGTGATGGTAATGCAGCAGTTCACGGTTCTGATTTGAATTTTCTTTCTTTTCTTGCTCTTCTATTGCATTATTTTTCTTACTAGGTGTACGTGCTCTGGGTGTTAGGGATATCTAGATCGACTATCAACCAATCGTAGCACATTTGAGGAGCTTTATAAATCGACTATCGAATATAGTGTGAATAGTGACAGCTGATCAGTGGTGCTCATGGCGATGCTAATAAAACGCTAATATGACGATAAATAACGAAAAACGCGAGAAGGTGTTTGAGATATTTAGTACTGTACAAACTTACCTACTTAGCTGGCTTGTGACAAAACATTCGTTTCATAAGCCGAGCTTAAAAAATATTACCAGGCGCGTCGGTCTTTTGCGTAGTTTTTCCAGTTTGAAAGATCATATTCGGCAATATTGTATTCCACTTTATATTTCCATCTTATTCGTGGCCTTCCCCTTCTGCGTGCCCCAACAGCTGGTTTGCTTTTATATGCCTTTTGGTCTGCGGCATATTCATCCATTCTCACATCATGACCTAGCCAACGTAGTCGTTGCAGCTCAATGAATCTAACAATGGCGATGTCCAGCTCTTGGTTCATTCGACAGCGATATTCACCATCAACTCAGATCGCCCCTTAGATATATCGGAGAATTTTTCTTTCAAACACTTCAAGAGCTACCTCATTTGCTTGTGTAAGTACCCATGCTTCAGATCCATATAATAGCACGGATATTATCAGCGTCTTGTAGAGTGTGAGTTTGGTCTGGCGTGTGGTGGCCTTGGTTATGAGTTGCTTACTCAGACCATCTGTAGCATATGTTGGCCATCACAATCCTTCTCCGAATTTCAAAACTGATGTCATTCGTTTTATTTATGGCGGTACCAAGGTATATAAAATCTTTGACTACCTCGAAGTTGTAGTTCTCAATTTCCACAGTTGGTCCGAGACTACTGGAAATTTTGCGCGTTGATATCATCAGCTTGGTCTTCTCGCCGTTTACTGCCAGACCCATTTTGGCAGACTCCTTCTCAATTTGTTCAAAGGTGACTGTTTCCGCTCTCAATGTTGGACCCATTATGTCGATGTTTGGTGTACAGAGTGCCATTTCTATTCACTTTTTCCTCTCGTATAACCTTTTCCAGCAGGATGTTAAAAAGGTCACACGACAAACTGTCACCTTGTCTGAATCCCCTTTCGGTATTAAAGGGCTCTGAGAGGTCCTTTCCGACGTTAACTGCTGATCTTGTGCCAGTTAAAGTTTTGCTGCGTAGCCGAATTAATTTTGCAGGAATGCCAAACGCAGACATGGATTTGAACACCTCTGAACGGATAGGGCTATCGAATGCGACTGTATAGTCGACGATTTGGTGGAATGTGTCGATGTGTTTTTCGTGGATTTTTTTCCAGGATTTGGCGCAGAGTGAAAATCTGGTCAATGGTGGATTTGCCAGATTTGAAGCCACATTGGTATGGTCCAATAATGTCATTGACCATTGACCAGTCATCTCCGACGTTAACTGCTGATCTTGTGCCAGTTAAAGTTTTGCTGCGTAGCCGAATTAATTTTGGGAATTTTTGAACACCTCTGAACTCTACCGAATGCCGCATTTGGTGGAATGTGTCCGTGGATTTTTTTCCATTTGGCGCAATGTCGTTGACCATTGGCTTCAATCGTTCACACATCACGCTGGATGGCACTTTATATGCGAAGGGAAGGAGACCTATTCCTCTATAGTTGCCACATATCGTCTTGTCTTCTTTTTGTTCACGGGACACAGGATGCTGAGGTTCCAATCATCGGTGCAATGGTGCATGCCCCTTACCAGCATCTGACCACCAATCTTGAATAGTTCGGCTTGTAAACCATCGGCAACTGCTGCTTTATTATTCTTCAGCCGATTGATTGCTATTCTGACCTCATCTTTGCTAGGTGGTATACACTCTAAGCTGATATGTGTGACACCGTGTGACCCAGGTGACACCGCGGGGAGGTCGTTGTCCACAATTGAGATGAAAGAGGGACCAAGATAAGCCTGTCAGAGCCGTTGCTTGGTATCCATCAACCCCTACGTCACCCCACACGTCTTGTTAAAGTCCTTGAAAAAATTTTTTTAAAAAATCCACGCCTTGTTATAGCCCAATATTTTTTTAACCTTCGACCTGTTATTCCAAATTTCCAATTGGTCATCTAACCATAAAAACGATTTATTGATTGATTCCATAATAATAAAATAACAACAAACAGCAATATTGAACACCTGAAAATGTCTGATGGATTGCTGTTGTTGTTTTTTTTTTTTTTTTGTTCTCAATTGTTGTTTTTGTTTTATAAACAAAAATACTCAAAAAATACCATCATCAGCATTAAGACATCAACAAAGGCAATGAAACGACCAACCGAAATGTTTAAGTAAATAAATGATACTCTAGGGAAATTGTTTTTTTTTTCGAAAATAAACATCCAGCGGCAAATGGACTTGGCGGCGGATGAATGGAGTGTGAAATTCAAAATACGATGATATTTGGAAAATAAAATCGCCAATCTATTTGTTTTGTTTTATTTTTAGGGTGTTTAAATTGGCAAATTTATGTTCGGAAACATAACAACAAATTTGATTCGAAATTGTTGTCGTTGTTTATCTTCGAATTGCAAAAAACAAGGTGAGTTAATGGCAAATGTCCGTCCGTTGGACTTAAGGTTAACTTTCTCCATACAAAATTTGTTAGATTTGTTTTGAATTGAATTTTTTTGTCGAACCTAGAACAATTAGAATTTCACTGCACCCAAATAATTGGGTTGGGAAATTCCAATTCAATTTTATTTTGAATGTTGGCAGACTTATTAGCGAACAATATTAAACAGAATTTTCAAAATTAGCACAACATTTTATTATTTATTGCAAATGAAATACTAGAGGAAGACTTATGCCGACATTTCTATATAATAAATACTCAAAGCACTTGTATTGAAATCTAAGATTTTCAACACAATTCTGAGAAATGTAAGCCAATACAAAAAAAATAGTAATTTTTTTTAATTTACAATAATGTAATGTACACACATCGGGATGGCTGTTATTGTTTTTGTATTTTTTTTGTTGTGAAAATCAAAACATGTGTTTAATATCAGAAATGTAATTGCATTCACGAAAAGAAATACAAATAATGATTATTTTCATAATATGCATATATACGAATTCCTTAATGCTAGGCAGTGACAGTGGCTCACAGCCAATATTTTTAAAAATAACAAAATATATAAAAAAAATATTTTTTCAAGGACTATCCCAAGTGTGGATTTTTTGAAAATATTTTTTTCGAGTACAAAAAACGCGTGGATTTTTAAAAAAATATTTTTCGAGTATTGGATTTTTTAAAAATAATTTTTTCAAGGCGTGATTTTTGTAAAAAATATTTTTTTCAAGTCGTGAATTTAAAAAAAAAATTCAAGGAGCGGATTTTATAAAAGATATTTTTCAAGGCGTAGATTTTTTAAAAGGTATTTTTTCAAGGCGTGGATTTTTTAAATGAGCGAATTGCTATAATCCGTATAAAAGCGAAGTTCTTCTACATTAGTCTCATTTGCGCCCATGCTCCGACCGAAGATAAAGATGAACAGACCCAAGACATATTTTACGAGCGCCTAAAAACAGCATATGATCGTTGCCCTGGCCATGTCATTAAAATTGTGCTAGGTGATTTTAATGCAAAAATCGGAAGAGAAAATATCTTTGGACCCACCGTCGGAAAATTCAGTCTCCATGAAGAAACATCCGACAACGGCATGAGGTTGATTGACTTCGCGGCAGCAAAAACATGGTAGTTAGCAGCACCAGATACAAGGATCTCGATATCCACAAGGCCACGTGGATTTCTCCCGGTCGAACAACGAGAAATCGATCATGTTGTGATAGAGAGAAGGTATTCATCCAGTGTTTTAGACGTCCGGTCGATCCGAGGAGCTAATATCGATTCGGACCATTACCTTGTGGCAGCCAAGGTACGCACCCGTCTTAAAGTTGCAGCAAATGCGCGATCTAACACAACACGGAAATTTGACGTCGAAAAGCTGCAAACACAACAGATAGCAAAAGCATATTCCGCTCAACTTACCCAATTGCTTGACGAAAGCACCCGTTGTCCCGATAATAATATAGAAGCACAATGGCAGAGAATTACCCACTCACTACAAACTGCAGCAAAAGCAACACTTAAGTACCAAAGACCACCATCAAGAAATCCGTGGCACGATCAGGAGTGTCGTAATGCTACTGATATGAAAAACGCAGCGTATTGGGAAACCCTGCGGACAGTAGCAACACGTAATGCGATAGAGAATTATCGGGTGAAAAGGAGAGAGGTGAAACGTATCTTCAAAAAAAAGAATAAAGCGCAAGAAAAACGTGAGCAAATAGAGATGTACAGGGGTCTGAATGAAGTCCGAAAATTCTACCAACGGGTAAAACACCAAACCGAAGGGTTTGGTGCAGGCACATCCTCCTGTAGAGATGAGATGGTCACACATACAGACAGCGTGTTGAGGATCTGGAAGGAGCATTTTGAAAAGCTTCTGGTATCAAATAGTGGCGGTGAAGAAGATACCCCAGAACCAATAAGAGATGATGATATAGAGTATATACCACCTAGCCAAGATGAGGTCATAAAAACAGTTAATCGGCTCAAGAATAATAAAGCAGCAGGTGCCTATTCAATACTGGTGGTCAGATGCTGGTAAGGAGCATGCACCAGCTGATTAGTACAATTTGGCTAGAGGAATGCATCCACCAAAATACCTTCGAAAAACACATCGACACATTCCACCTATTCGTCGACTATAAAGCCGCATACGATAGCCCTATCCGTTCAGAGGTGTTCAAAGCCATGTCTGCGTTTGGCATTCCTGCAAAATTAATTCGGCTATACAGGATAACTTTAACAGGTACAAGATCAGCAGTTAAGGTCGGAAAGGACCTCTCGGAGCCCTTTAATACCGAACGAGGATCCAAACAAGGTGATAGTTTGTCGTGTGACCTTTTTAACATCCTGCTGGAAAAGGTCATACGAGAGGCAAAAGTGACATCGACATAATGTATCGAACATTGAGAGCGGTAACAGCCACCTTAGAACAAATTTAGAAGGACTCTGCCAAAGTGGGTCTGGCAGTAAACGGCGAGAAGACCAAGCTGATGGTATCAGAGCGCAAGACGTCCAGTAGGCTCGGACGAACTTGAGAACTAAAGCTTCGAGGTAGTTAAAGATTTTATATACCTTCGTAACGCCATAAATAAAACGAATGGCATCAGTTTTGAAATTTGGAGAAGGATAGTGATGGCCAACCGGTGCTACTTTGGTCTGAGCAAACAACTCAAAAAACAAGGTCGCCTCCCGCCAGACCAAACTCACACTCTACAAGACGCTGATACTATCCGTGCTGTTATATGGATCTGAATCAGCATGGGTACTTACGCAAGCGGATGAGGCAGCTCTTGGAGTGTTTGAGAGAAAAAATTTCCGAAAGATCTATGGGCCGATCTGCGTTGACGGTGAATTGTTAGACGCATTGAGCTGCAGCGACTACGTTGGCTAGGTCATGTTGTGAGAATGGATGAATATGCCCCAGCCAAGAAGGCATATAAAAGCGAACCAGCTGATGGTATACGCAGAAGGGGAAGTCCAAGAATACCATAGAAAGATCAAGTCGAAGACAACATTGCCGAAAATGGTCTTTCAAATTGGAAAAACTGCGCAAAAGACCGACGCGCCTGGAAATCTTTTCTAAGCTCGGCTTATGGAACGAAAGTTCTCTCACAAGCTAGATAAGTAAGGATTTTTAAATAATATTTTTTCTAGGCGTGAATTTTTTTAAAAAATATTTTTTCAAGGCGTGAAATTAAAATAAAATCGAGGCGTGGATTTTAAAAAAAAAAATTCTCAAGGCGTGAATTTAAAAAAAAATATATTTTTTAAAAAATATTTTTGATTTTTTAAAAAAATATTTTTTTAAGGCGTGAATTTTTTGAAAAATATTTCTTCGTGTATTAAAGGCGCTAAAAATTATTTTTCGGGTACCAAAATTTTAAAATATTTGGAGGATATATTTTGAAGAAAATTGTATGTAAACAAGTCTTAAGATTTTTATCAAAACAAAATTGCCATTTTATGTATGTACCTCTGAAAAACAACAACAACAATTTTCCTTTCAATAAATGCGAACATTGCTGATTTATTGTTCTTAAATTTAATTCTATATTTAAATAAATTCATTATAAAAATACATTTAATACAAAATGGTGTAGGTTAAGACAAACATTTAAACAAATTTATAAATAAAATATTAAAAAAAAAAAACAACTTCTATGTACATAAATTAGGGTGTGCTGTGTGGACTTTGGAAAAAACATTTTTTCCACTAGGTGTATGATTTAAAAAAATATATTTTTTTGCCTTCACACGTTGCAACTGCTGCTTACGTTTACTTAAGGGAAATTTTTTCAAGGCTTGCCGCTTTTACAAAATATATATGTGTAGCAGGTTGGGGTACATTTGGCATTAATGACAGCCTCGAAATATTTTTTCGCCGCCATGCCGAGGCGGCAGTAAAAGGGCCCGTTTGACGAAATAGCTTTTGTTAAAAAAAAATCTTTGTGTGCCGGATAACGTGCGCTAAAAATTATTGCCGATGAATCCAGCAGACCAAAATTTTAAAATATTTGGAGGATATATTTTGAAGAAAATTGCATGTAAACAAGTCTTAAGATGTGGATTTTTATCAAAACAAAATTCCCATTTTATTTATGTACCTCTGAAAAACAACAACAACAATTTTTCTTTCATCAAATGCGAACATTGCTGATTTATTGTTCTTAAATTTAATTCTATATTTAAATAAATTCATTATAAAAATACATTTAATACAAAATGGTTCAGTTAAGACAAACATTTAAACAAGTATATAAATAAAATATTTAAAAAAAGAAAACAACTTCTATGTACATAAATTAGGGTGTGCTGTGTGGACTTTGAATCGTCTTAGTAAGCAACACTCCCCACATACGCTGCGTCCACTGGGTCGTATGATTATTATGGCGCCGAACCCATACGCACCATAGACGGTTCCTTAAGTGCCTTCACACGTTGCAACTGCTGCTTACGTTTACTTTCGAGGGAAATTGTGGCGGGACTAGCTGCCGTTGCCGCTGGTACCATTACAACAGCATCACCTATATGTGTAGCAGGTTGGGGTACAGGCGGTGTGGCATTAATGACAGCCTCGACCAGAGTTCGTTGGCCATCACTATACTTCTCCGCCAAAACTGATGCCGTTTTATTTATGGCGGCAGTATATGATAGAATAAAATCTTTGACTAAATAGCTGTTTGTTTTGTGTACAGAGTGGCATTTCTTTTTGTGCGTAAATCTTTGTGTGCCGGATAACGTGCGGGCAAAGGGATTGCCGATGAATCCAGCAGACCATCAATATTTCTATATTTGTGCCTGTTAAAGTTATCCTGCATAGCCGAATTAATTTTGCAGGAATGCCACGCAGACACCTCTGAACGGATAGGTATCAACACTTCTTTGGTGTGCAGTGTTTTCCGTGGGACCCTTTTGTATTTCAATGGTGACATTTGCCAGAACCGTTTCATGGTCGAGGATGTCATTGAACATTGGCTTCAGTCGTTCACACATCACACTGGATAGCACTTTATATGCGATGGGAAGGAGACTTTTTTCCCATATAGTTGGCACATACCGTCTTGTCTCCTTTTTTGTGCACGGGACACAGGATTCTGAGGTTCCAATCAATGGGCAAATTTTACTAATCAATTGTGCATGCTTCTGATCAATGTCTGACAGCCGCCTTGAATAGTTCGGCTTGTAACCCATCGGCACCTGCTGCTTTATTTTTCTTCAGCCGATTGATTGCTATTCTGACTTCATCTTGTCTAGGTGGTGTCATTTCGTGAACTATTAGGGTGGCTAAATTTAAATTGAGGACTTTGATTAGGTGCTTTACTCCTGCCTCTTCAGACAGCTTCAACATCACCATAGATGTTCCATCCCGACTAATCGTCTTGACTCTTGCGCTTTTGATGGCACTTGCAAGATCCTCTAAATTAAATTGTGAAGGTTCCTTTTCCTCCAGGGCGCAATACTTTGCCCTGTAGTTCTACAAAGTGTCGGTTAAAATAACTCGCGCTCCTCTTCGAATCTGTCACATCAACAACCTTTAAAGAGACAGACGTCGGATCATCCTTTCGGGGGTTTAGTAGGACGAAGCTTATCATGCTCATTTGCTAATCCCTTGCCAATGTTGATCAGAAGTTTTGAAGTCGGAAGGTCTGTTGATGGATATGATAATAGGGATGTGGTCTGGCACCAATGAAATGTCTAACGGCACAGCTATTTAACGGCGGAATGTATACGTTAAGCACCTCTATTTCGGCGGTGGCTTTAACGTGGCAAATCACAGGCTTATATTGCCCCCCCCCCCCCCTCCTCGCTTTTCAATTGTGGACTGTCAACACCCGTTGAAATATTGAGCTGATATGTGGCACGATTTCACCCATAAGAACTATAAAAAAATGGGTTGAGGCGTCGGGTTAGTTGCCCACACTCGGAAAACCCCGTCTTACGATGAAAAAGCAACGAAAAAGAAAACCAAACCCCGCACTTGGAATGTGCGCACGTTGTACAGAACAGGCTCAGTTTTCGCTTTGGCGGTTGAACTCAGGAAGTACAAAGGTATTACACTTGATCGCTACCCCCATAAATATGGGTCGCTAGAGTCCAGATTAACTGAAATAGGTCTGTACTCCACCTCTTGTATGATCCTTCCTTATAACGTTGCATCCGATGTTGATGTAGACCACGATTATGATGACGATGACTCGCTGGAGTTTGCATTAGCACAGCACCATACAATAAAGTGCCTTCCGCTATACTCCCATACCCGGCTTAGACCGCAACAACTCCTGGAATGTACAGATTCTCCGCATCCGCATATCAACCTATGATGGATGTGATTATGACAGACCGAACATGGTCCGGGGTTTGTCTCAATCCCGTCATGGACCAAAATAATACTAAGCAACAATTTAGGTAATGTTGCTACCTTGTTGAAACGAACATATACTTGCTCCACACAGGTGGGAAGCTAGTACGCTACACATGCTTATCAGTCTGTAGTATAGATTATATTCCATATACTCCCAACCATATGTCAATGGAAAAATAACCTTCTACTAAATAAAGGCCCTTTCTTAAGGGGACTGTATACAAACATATGTCCCTGTTTAACTAAATTCTCTCTCCTTTATACAAGAGACCAAAAGTAAGACAATGGTTATTACGAGAACCCCTCCATAAAATGGTTCCACTTTATCAATCTTGAGAATTTTATGGTCCTACACGAGTTATCCCCGATGTGGTTGTAAATTGCCTTTCAGGATTCTGGGTGAATAAGAAGCTGTTTTTTCCATAGGAAACTACATATGACGCCACACATGCTTATCAGTCCGTACTCTAGATTATATCTCATTAACCACCTCAAATAGGGATTAGTAAATCGACTTTCGACTTTTTGTATTGAAATGTCTAAAACATGGTACAATAAATAGGTAGTTCATTTAACGCAGCTGATATCTCGGTTAACTGTCAAAGTGCGTAATTTCTACTTGAATTCGATGTGCAACGTTGCCAACCATTTTAAACATTATAAGGAAAATTTGACAGATGATCGAGACAAAAACAAAAGTTGTTGTTTTGATACATCACCTTATTATTGCATCATGAGGAAATCGTAGAAAGTAGACTGTGTACTAAAATACATCCCTGTTTAACTGAATTCTTCCTCCTTTACACAAGTGGCCCACAGAAAGACATTTATTATAAGAAAATGCATGTTCGCTAAATGAACACCTCCATAGAACGGTACCATAAATGTTTAGATATTTTGCCTGACCATCTCATGATAGAGGGTATAAAAAGTTCGTGCAAATATTTGTACTTCTTCTTCTTTTATACAATACTTACAAATAGTGCCCTTCTCGCTTTATCACGTTTCGCCAAAATCACAACCCAACCGGCAAATGAGAACATTATTAGAGCCGGTACCAGTACACCAGCTAAATGTGCCGATTTCTTTATCCATGCCTGATAAACGGCACAGAATATCACAAGGGATGCTATAATTACGGCCACCATACGGCCATTGGCCTTACGTTCTTCCTGGAAAAACACGAAGAAAAAGAAAAACAAAAATATAAAAAAGTAATTCAAGGTTACATTTTTTGCACATAACTCATATGGTAGTCATAAAAAATAGCTCAATGCTAAAACTATAAATAATTGGAAATGTTGGAATGTTATTGTTTTTTAAGAAATCAATAAAAATTCCAATGTGTACGATCAGTTACAGGTGGAAGAACTTTGCGTTATAATTAATAAGGTCAATCATGTGATCTGCATTGGCAAAAATACGAATATGACCATGACACAATAAATAGTTATTTTATTTACCGTAGCTGCTCTATTCGATTAACTGTCAATGTTCATAGTTTCTACCATGACACAATGAATAGGTAGTCCATTTAGCGCAGCTGATGTCTTGATTAACTGTCAAAGTGGTTAATTTCTACATTAATTCGTTGTGCAGTGTTGCCAACCATTTGAAATATTATATGGAAAAATTCGACAGATAATCGAGACAAAAACAAAGGTTTTTGTTTTGATACATCGCCTTATTATTGCATCACGAAGCTTGCAAGAGGAGATTCTACAATGGATGAATCCAACGTACATAGGAAATTTTCATTACATTTATACAAGGCCACTTGAAGAGTCATGCCTATAGCCCCTTTATCCTCATTTATAGGTTAATTTTGTACTGTAGTCATTAACGCAGGGGATGATAGATACAAAGCAACGGCTCCGATTTAATTTAACATGACAAAGCCTAGACTTATCTTGATCCCACTTTCATCTCAATTGCGGACCTTAACCTCTTCGCGGTGTCACGTGAGGTAGCTACTTTCAACACCCGTTGAAATAGTGAGCTGATATGTGGCACGATTTCACCCATAAGAACTATAAAAAATGGGTTGAGGCGTCGGGTTAGTTGTCCACACTCGGAAAACCCCGTCCTACTATGAAAAAGCAACGAAAAAGAAAACCAAACACCACACATGGAATATGCGCACGTTGCCGATATTATAGCCCCTACAGGAAATGCGATGAAAAGGGGCTGGCCTAAGTAAATCAATCGATTACGCACTATTTTATAGCTGTCATGAAACGAGACATGAATTTGGCTTTGGATTTATGGTCAGCAGGAGAATAAAAGACTTCGTCTTCATACTCACTCCAGTAGATGAGCGAATTGCTTTAATTCGTATAAAAGCTACATCAGACTTTTATGTGCCCATGCTTCGACGGAAGACAAAGATGAACGCCTAGAAATAGCATATGACCGCTGCCCTGGCCATGACATTTAAATTCTGTTAGGAGATTTTAATGCAAAAAATGAGAAAGGAAAGTATTTTTGGTTCCAACATCTAAAATTCAGCCTCCATTAAGAAACATCCGACAGCGGTATGAGATTGACTGACTTCGCGGCAGCAAAAATCATGGTAGTTAGCAGCACCAGATTCAAGCATCTCGATATACACAAGGTCACCAGGATTTCTCCTAATCAAGCAACGAGAAATCAAATTGGCCATTTTGTGATAGACGGAAGGTATTCGTCCAGTGTTTTAGACGTTCGATCGATCCGAGGATCGAATATCGATTCGGATCACTACCTTGTAGCAGCCAAGGTTCGCAATCGCCTTAATGTAGCAGCAAAGGTGCGATCTACCACAACACGGAAACTCGACGTCGAAAAGCTGCAAACACAACAGATAGCAGAAACCTACTCCGCTCAATTTACCCACTTGCTTGGCTAAGGCACTTCTTGTCCCGATAAAAATATAGAAGCACAATTGCAAAGAATTGCCCACTCCCTAAAAACTGCAGCAAAAGCCACACTTGGGTACCAAAAATCACCATCATGATACCCATGGTGCGATAATGAGTATCGTAATGCTACTGATATGAAAAACGCAGCGTATTGGGTAACACTGCAACACGTAATGCGAGTGAGTATTATCGGGAGAAATAGAGAGGAGAAATGTATTTCAACAAAAAGAAGAAAGAACCAGAAAAAACACGAGCGTGAGCAAATCGAGATGTACAGGAGTCCGAATGAAGTCTGAACAATTTACCAACGAGTAAAACACCAACCCGAAGGCTTTGTTGCCCGGTGGCAGATACAGACAGTGTGTTGAGGATCTGGAAGGAGCATTTTGAAAAGCTTCTGGTATAAAATAGTGCGATGAAGAAGATACCCCCAGAACCAATAAGAGATGACGGTATAGATTTATACCACCTAGCCAAGATGAGGTCATAAAAGCAATTAATCGGCTCAAGAACAATAAAGCAGCAGGAGCCGATGGGTTACCAGCCGAACAATTCAAGACCAGTGGTCAGGAGCATGCACCAGCTGATTAGTACAATTTGGCTAGAGGAATGCATGCCCAATGATTGGAACCTCAGCATCCTGAGTACCGTGCACAAAAAAGGAGATAAGACGATATGTGCCAACTATAGCGGATAAAGTCTCCTTTCTATCGCATATGAAGTGATATCCAGCGTACTGTGTTAACGGCAGAAGCCAATGGTCAATGACATTATTGAACCATACCAATGAGGCTTCAGGCCTGGCAAATCCACCATTGACCAGATCTTCACTATGCACCAAATTCTGGAAAAGACCCACGAAAAACACATCGACACATTTCATCTATTCGTCGACTATAAAGCAGCATTTGACAGCCCTATCCGTTCAGAGGTGTTTAAAGCCATGTCAGCGTTCGGCATTCCTGGTAAATTAATATGGCTGTGTAGGACAACTTTAAGTGGCAGATGGTCAGCAGTTAATGTCGGAAAGGACCTCTCGAAGCTCTTTTACCGAACGATGATTCAGACAGTTTGTCAGAATACATTTTTAACATACTGCTGGAAAAGGTCGTACGCGAGACGAAGAGGAACAGAAATTGCACTTTGTACACCAAATAGCATGTGTTACCTGCCTATGACGACGACATCGACATAATGGGTCGTACATTTGGAACGGTACAGCCACCTTTGAACGAATTGAGAAGGAGTCGGCCAAAGTGGGACTGGAAATAAATGGCGAACAGATCAAGCTGATGGTATAAACGCACAAGACGTCCAGAAGACTCGGACCAACAGCGGAACTTGGGAACTACAGCTTTGAGGTAGTGAATGATTTTATATACCTCGGTACCGCCATAAATAAAACTAATGACATCAGTTTTTAAATTCGGAGAAGGATAGTTATGGCCAGCAGATGCTACAATGATCTAAGCAAATCAGAAACAATGCCACCTCTCGCCAGACCAAACTCACACTCTAAAAGAAGCTGATACTAGCCAGTTTGTCGTGTGATCTTCTTAACATACTGCTGGAAGAGGAACAGAAATTGCACTTTGTACACCAAATAGCATGTGTTACTTGCCTATGACGACGACATCGACATAATGGGTCGTACATTGAAAACGTTAAGAGCCACCTTTGAAAGAATTGAGAAGGAGTCGGCCAAAGTGGCACTGGAAATAAATGGCGAGCAGATCAAGCTGATGGTATCAACGCGCAAGACGTCCAGAAGACTCGGACCAACTGTGGAACTTGGGAACTACAGCTTCGAGATAGTGAATGATTTTATGTACCTCGGTACAGCGATAAATAAAACTAATGACATCAGTTTTGAACTTCGGAGAAGGTAAATCAGAAACAAGGCTACCTCTCGCCAGACCAAACTCACACTCTACAAGATGCTGATACTAAGCGTGCTGTTGTATGGATCAGAAGCATGGGTACTTGTACCAGCAGATGAGGCAGCTCTTGGAATGTTTGAGAGAAAAATTCTCCGAAAGATCTATGTGCCGATCTGCGATCGATTTGATATGATAAATGTCAATATCAATCGATATTTCCTCACATACTGCAAAAATATTCCGGCCTTCTTCAATAAAGGCTATCGAAATTGAATCGTTCCTTTAGGTTAATTTTTTATTTTTTTGTTTTTATTTCAAATATTTATTTATTTTGAGAATTATTTATTGTTGTCTACTAATTCTAGCAATTTCTGGTGCAGATTTTATTTTTAAATTTTTATTTCTCAAACGATTTTATCGTTGCTTATTTTACATAATTTGACTAAATTAAAAAGTTTTTTAAAAAATATTTTCAAAAAAGCAGTAAAGTAAAAAATCACACAATGTTTTAATTATATGGCCACTTCAAAGTCGATGTATTTTCATAGAACCGTTATTTATGAAAAAAATTGCATGCAATAATTTTCTATTTTCACACTAAATCTCTTAAGTGCAGTATATCGAAGTGTTCTGAATTAAAAAATTTTCAAAAATACTTCAAACGAATCGAGAGCTGATCAAAAAATGTTTACCACAGTAAATGTTTTAATTCTGTGACCACCACTGTATATATATATATATGGGCAATATTGCCAATTTTTTAATATTCCATTTTCAAAAAATCGGCTTTTTTGTTTTTGTGGCACATCAATGATTTTTGGTACACATATAGAGAAAAATGTTCTGACTCCGAAATCGTTCGCGATCAAATTTTTGGTTGATGCGCGCAAAAGTTATCGAGGTTTTAATTTTGGGCATAAGAAAAAAATCTTAAAATTACGCCGTTTATTATATTGACCAAAAACGTTGATATATATCTTCCTCCGTAAAATAAGAATATGAATATATTATAATAATCACGGTAAAGTTGCACATATTCGTGAAATATGAGAAAAATAAAAAAAATATAGCAGATTACATCAATATTTTCATTATATTAATGACATACACACACCTAAAAATTAATTTAAAAATATCTACATAATCTAAAGACCACGATGAATCAAATGATATCAAAATCATACAAGTCCGTGTAGCGGTTTCTAAATCACAGCGACAACAAAACAAGATATTGAGGAAAAAATATTTGTTTTTGGTTCGAAAAAATAATGTCATCATATTTATTTTTTAATTTTATACCATGGTACAATTATAAAAGGTAACAGCAAATCCCAGCTGATTTGATTCCAACGTTATACTAGTGTCAATATGAATTTGACAAATTATGTTTTT